CAACATAGTATTCACCTGATTGCAAAGGCCCCGGGGTAGCAAGAAGCATGACATGGAGTAAGTGGGGATCGCCTGAGCGATTGCTTTTATTAAAATTTCCTTCCTAGATGAAGCCATACACTTCTCAATCCAGCCCTGAACTTTTGCCCACATTCTGTCTTTTATGTACTTAAATGATCCATTCTTGCTCCTTCCCACATCTGACGGTAAGCCAAGGTACCGTTCATTTAAAGACTCATTTGGAACAGTAAGAATGGATTTAATAGAATTCCTTGTTGCCTCCGGGCAACCCTTCCCAAAAAAGATAGAAGACTTAGTTAAATTAACTCTTTGGCCTGAAGCATCACAGTACTGCTGCACTGTATCTCGGATGATAGTAGCAGCGATATCATTTGCTTTGAACATGAGTAAACTGTCATCCGCAAAAAGTAAATGATTGACGGGAGGAGCCGTAGGAGCGACAACTACCCCCCTCACATTTTCGTTCTCACCCTTGGAGTTCAACAAACACGAGAAACCTTCTGCCGCTAGCAAGAAGAGATACGGAGAGATCGGGTCACCTTGGCGGATGCCCTTGGTGGGTTTAAACTCCTCCAGTCGACCACCATTCAGCAAAACTGAGAAGGAAACTGTATTCACACATTGCATAACTTTACGAACCCAAGATGGATGCAAGCCAATTTTTAGCATAACAACTTCAAGGTAGTTCCACTCAACCCTATCATACGCTTTCATCATGTCAAGCTTCAATGCACAATGCGAATTTTTCTTACTCCTTGATCTCTTCATGAAGTGAAGGCATTCATATGCAGCTATACCATTGTCAGTAATGAGTCTGCCAGGAACGAAAGCGGATTGCTCTTGGGAAATAATCTTCGGTAAAATCTTTTTCAGCCGGTTAGAATGAACTTTAGAAATAATCTTGATGATTACGTTGCACAAACTAATCGGTCGAAATTGGACCAAAGAGGTTGGTTTTTTTACCTTAGGGATAAGAACGATGAACGTTTTATTTATAACCTCCGGAGAATCTAGCCCATTGAGAACACGCAATACCATCTCAGTAACCTCATCACCGCAAACACTCCAATTCCGCTGAAAGAAATGCGCCGGAAAACCATCCGGTCCCGGTGCCTTTGTTGGATACATTTGGAATAGGGCCTCCTTTACTTCACTAGCTTTATATGGTGCATTAAGCATGTCATTCATCTCGGTACTGACTTTACAAGGAATGTGGGATAACACTTCCTCCATCCCAACAGTGCCTTCAGATGCATATAAATTCTTGTAGAATTCAGTCACCATGCTGCCCAATTCCTTTTCATCTCTGCATAATGTGCCATCCTCCCTCGGAAGCTCACTGATTCTATTTTTTCTTTTCCTCATAGACGCCTTTTGGTGAAAAAACTTTGTATTGCCATCACCCTCCGCAAGCCACTGTATGCGCGAACGTTGGCGCCACATAATCTCTTCGCGGAAATTCAACTCTATTATTCTGTTTTGCACTTTCAACTCCTCATAGGAAGGCCCCTGCCTATTAGGTTCAGACCTTAGCTCCTCAAGTTTTTTCTTCAAGCTTCTAAGTTCACTCCTCACCTGACCAAAAGTGTGCTTGCCCATGCGGCCAAAGCCGAGGCCAGGGCATGTAATTTCAAACTGGTATCTTGAACCGTCTCGGCCT